AAAGCCTAACCAACAAGCATAAGACCATGTCTAACGTTAATTGTATCGTAAAGTTAAATGCACTTATTTATGAAGTTTTCCTTAGGTTGTAAGTTTTGGGATTTGCAAGAAGCTTTTAAGGAGTCTAATAATAAACCGTAGTCTATTAAAGGCAATTCTACGCCAGGAAAAAGGTCACTGGTGATAGATTTAAATAAAGGAATATCGTTTATTGTAAATTTAGGTACATTTACATCCATTAAAGCTCTCAAACAAATAATGTCTTCGCTATCAGTCATTATTCTTTTAAGGTTTCCTGCGGCTGTAAGTATTGCTTTTAGTGCTCTCATACCAAAATCATAATGGTCTTGGGAAGATAATTATTCGGAACTAAGTCTTAATGAGGCAACTATTTTTCTAGCTAAATGCCTAGCCTCTTAAAATCCTACTGAATATAAATATATTTCAGAAATCAAAGCATAATCAGGGACCATCATAGCACAGGGTCTGAATAGAGACTTTAAATTATCAGGAAGATCCGATCGACCTGCGTATCCGGGATTCATAGTAATATTTATGGCACATGTGTCCACTAGTTTTATTTCCTATCCGTCAAATTCGAAGGTTTCACGAGGACGAGTTTTATTCAATCTGATTGCAGTTTAGATTGTTAATACTTAAGTTGCTATAACGGAAAGTACTTCTAAATCAATTCTATTAAATTCATCAAAACAACACCAAGCTCCAGAAGAAGAGAGGCCTTTGAAAAATTTTCTCATTGCAATAAAATTTAAGCCGTCTGAACAGTTAAATACAACGCATTAAACAGCTAAAGCTTTTGCTAAATCTTTTACTGTTTCAGTTTTACCTGTTCCTGCGGGACCTTCTGGAGCTCCTCCGTATTACAATTAGAAAGCTCCCATTAATGTTCTATAACATCTATCTGTTAATGGTGTTATTACTAGTCTTGTTGAATTTCCTAAATATTCAAAACTAAATATTGTTTTATATTTAGTTTTTTAATTTTTTTATTTTTTACTCATATGATAAATCAGCACTTATCATTCTTACTTTTAAATCTGGTTTATTGTGCTTTTCAACCCAATAATATCTTAATTAACTAATCCAAGAAAATTCTTAAACAGAAATACACCCAGTTTTTTTTAAATCTATAATAACATCTTTTGCATGTACATCTAAAACAACTAAAGCTCCTAAAGTAAGTCTTGCTAAAGGAGATAAATCTTTTCTTACTAAATCAACTATTTCTTTGAGTTATTTTTCTAAATAATTAGCATAATCTCCGACATTATTAAAAGTATATATATCATCATCTACATCTTCACCTTTTGAATTTAATATAGCATTTTCTGCACCTCTAGTCCATCTACACATATTTACAGCTAAAACAACTTAACCAGGCCTTAATAATAAATAAATATGTATATATATAAATATAATTATTTATTATTAATATATATATTTTTATTTATTTATATAAAAACCATTTTTAAACCCAATCTGTTCTTGATATATTGTCATCTATTAATGCATTTTTTGTGACTTACTTTAGAGTTAATCTCATCATTTATTCTATTTCGCCAAGCCATTTTTCTACATTACCTTTTTTATCTTCTTCATTTACGTTGATTATTTTATTAAATTGAATATTTTCATTTTCTGCTGAAATCATCCCACATACTTCTTCAATGGATTTAAAATCTAATTTATTTATAGCTTCAAAACATTTATTGATATGCTTTTAAACTTTCTAAGGGTCTTTTGTATCAGCTAGAATTTCTAATAGTTCTTCGTCTGAAAGGAAAAAGAAACGTGGAAAATCACGTCTTTTAGACTCTAAATAGTCTGAAAGTTTCTTTTGTATTTCATCTAATGTTTTATTGTGATTTGCAAAATCATTTTTTAATTTATCGTTTTCAACTCCATCCCATAAACTAGGCTCTTTCATGAATATTTCAAGTGTATTATGCCAAAAATCATCTACTATATCAAATTTAATTTTTTATTAAGACATTTTTTTCATTATATCTTCAGAAGAAAATATTGGCTCTAAATACATCCAAGATCTTTAACATTTAATCCAACCTTCTAAAGTATCTTACATAAAAATTAACCTTTATTCTAATTAATCAGCATTTTTTTTAAGATTTTTTATAAATGGGGAAGACTAAAAAAAAGAAAATTAAATATAATAAAAAATAAAAATATATTATAAAAAATATAAAACTATGGATAGAATGAAAAAGAAGAAAATATAAAATAAAAATAAAAAAATATATATTTATATATAATAAATAATAAATATACTAAATACATATATTTATATATTTATATATTTATATATATATATTTTATATATTTATATATATATATATATTTATATATTTTTTAATACTTTCATCATAGTTAGTGCATTTAATTAATCATCAAGAATTTATTAAATTTCATCAACTCCTTTTAGTATTCCTGTTGGTTTTTTGCTTTTTTTATAATCTTATATTTCTAATTTTATAGCTCTAACTATGTCTTCCATTTCTTTTAATTTTTTTTCAATTTAAAATTGCTTTTCAGCCTTTCTGCTAACTTCCTCTATAATATTTCTCTTTCCATTTAATTCTTTCGCTAATTTTAAATAAGTCATATCTTCAGAAATCTTCAATCCTTATAAATCGCATCTTTCGAAAATCTCTTACCAATGTTAAAGAACATTTATTTTTTTTATATTTCTCATTGCTTCAGTAGTTAAATATTCGAAAACCCACATTTATTATCTAAATTATTATAATTCTCTTAATAATTTATCTGCTAATTAAGCAGCTTTATCATTCCCTTATGTATCATTTGTATCAGAAAATTTCTTATATATAGCCTTTGTTTCTATAAAGTATTTTTAATTTACTTCTTTATCCATATATGTATAATTTTAGGCTAATATAGGTCCACTAAAAATTATATTTAAATATATATATATATATATATATATATATATATATATTTTTTGTATATTTCCTTACTTTAACCATCCTTCTAAATTATCAGTGAAAGTAAATAATATTTCCCATAATCTATGATATGGTTCAAAATCTTTAATAACAACATCAAGTTCTTCCCAAATAGAGATTTCGTCTCCAAAAAGACTCTCTCTGTTATTAAAAGATTTCACTTTAACAACTGAGTATTAAATTTAATCTTAAAAAGTTGCAATTTCAGTATATTTATCTTTTACATCTTAAATATTATAATCCTAAATAGTTTTTATTTATTCAAATTTTTTCTATATATTAATAATAGTATTTTAAAAATTGACTTTTTCAACTTCTAAACTATGTCTAAATTTCGCCTCATAAATTTCATATATTCTATTTCCGTCTGAAGATGCTTCCTTTACCAAAGCGGGTAAAGTTAGAAGTTAAAAAAATAGATTAATATTCAATTTCTTTAAAACATATTAATACTTTTCCAAAATATCAATAAATTCTCCTACGCATCTCACTTCATTACCCGCTTTTGCCAAATTTACATCATTTTCTTTAATATCACGTTTCAATCCAACTAATTAAACCTCATCTTCAGGATTAATACGTAATTTATTACACATAATTTCATATGTATTCTATATTTTATTTACACTTTCATAAGTTATTTAGTCTATTCTTTGCAAAATACTCTAAATCATTTCATCGGCTTTATTTATTAAATCTTATTTCACTTAACGGGTTTTAACTTGGAAAAAAAGACAGTTTTTTTCATCTATTTCTAACATAGATACTTCCCCTTTTGATTTGACATATTCTTTAATTTTCTTGTCTACTTCAGACACATCTAACATTAAAATATTTACTTCTTTTTGATCACCAAAAAGTTACTTATGTACATAATTTATACTTCTTTCTACAAGAAAGGAATATCTTTTTTTTTTTTTTTTTTTTAACAAAAATAAATAAAATATTAATTTTTACATTTTAAATTTTTCTAGAATTTATAAAGGCTATTCATATCCTTATTTTATATAATCTATTATAAGTTATTAACCTTATTAAATTATTGGCAATTCTAAATTAATTTCAAAAGAAATTTAAGTCTATAAATCAATCAAAGGAACTAAATCTTTTTATAATTTTGTAAAAGAATTAACACTTTCGACCAACCAATCGAACGGTTTTAATAAAACATTACAAATTTCAGAATATTTAGGTTCTAATTTGACAAAAAAATCATTTTAATCGTCTTCTTCTATAATTTCATCGTCTTTTTTTTTACCTTTTTTATCTTTTTATTTCTTCCTGATATTTTAATTGATTTAAAGATTTAAAATAATTAATGGAAAACCGCTAATTTTCCAAGGTTTTTCATTGTCTTTCGGAATTGTAAATTTTCTAATAAATTCGCAATAAAATTCCACATTTTTCCTCACAACATTTTCCCTCATATAATTATTAAACATAAAATCAATTCTAATTAATAATCTCTATAATTCCTAGTCAAAATAAGCCTTTTTCTCAGTCTAATAAAATCTATATACATTCCTTAAAGTATCCTAAGTTTCAGATATTATATAACTCCTCCATTACATATGTAACATTTATTTTGCATGAGTATGGAATCCCTTCTATTAATTTTCAAAACTATTTAGTAAAATCGGTAATTATTTTTCGTTCCATTAAACATTCATAAATTTATGATTTTCATATACTTAAGTTCTTTTAGTTATCATATTTAATGTTTCTATTACTTTCGGTTCTTTTGATATATGCAATTTTTGTATTTATTGTTAGATTTCATTATATGGATAATATAATTAGACTATAGTACCATATAATGGTATAATTTTTTCCTCATATCGATTTCGTATTCGAAATTTAACCCATTTTTAATCATTTGAAGGGTCAGCCATTTCTCTTATAATACTACATTTTTTAATAAAGAAAATGTATTGTTATTCGATTTCCTTTTATTTTTTTATTTTTATTAATTATATTTCTATTTTATAAAAATATATTTATGTACTTCCAACAACTCATTAACGAATTTGTATTTATTTAAATCTTAATTATTTTATAAATCATTATTATTTTTTTATTTCTTCATAGCATAATTAACTATATTTTTCTTTTATTATTCACTCATTGGTTATATTTAATCATTTGGCTACATATTTATATATTTATCAAATCTCAATGCATCTTCAGCCCAATGTTATCTTAATTTCGATAATTCAACCCTTTCTTTGAATTTTTACTTATCCTCTTCTTTAAACATAAGACTTAACCTTACTACATGTTTTTTAATATTGCTACCCATAACTTTAACTAAATATTTCTTTGTTTCTTCATCGAAATTTTCTACTTATACATCGGTCCAAACATATTAATTATCTATAAAAATAGGACATTATGCATGAGGTTCGTTCGGTTTTTATTTGAATCTTTCAAGCCATTATTAAGGTGTTATTTCTTCATCTTCACAGTCATATTTTCTTAAATTTTTATTCGTATTTAAACCTTTTTGGGGAAATTCTCTTAATGTGTCAGTTATATGGTCTTCTTCACTTAAATTCAGTTCTTTTTTTTTCATTATTTCAGGTGAGTATATATTCCTTTCTGCATTTTGCCTTTATAAAGATTACTAAGATTATTAAAAAAAACAGGCTTGTTATTATTAATTTTATATCATTTAACTTTTTAAAGGACTAGTTTAAAAATCTTATTATAATTATTCTTTTTATTAAAAATTATGGAGTTCTTATTAGTATTTTTTTATATTAAATGGAGTATGGGACTTTATTTGTGTATGCCTCATACGATTTTGGGATTTACATTTTAATTATACTGTATGTGTACTTCGCATTTATATAAATTCTGCTGGAGTCTATTCCATTGGAGGTAGTTATTTTTTATATAATGTTTACATAAAATTCCTTTTTTTTTGTTTTGTTTTTAGTATTTAATTTATTTTAATACCTTGGAATATGATGAGATTTCCATTGATTATAGGCTGTTAATTATTAACCTACTTATCTTTCTTCTTATTTGGATTCTTCGAATTAAAATTTTGGTTTACTTATCTTAAATATAGGACCTACATTATTTTTGTTTTATATTGTTTTAAATATTTTTTGTTGTTGATTTACCTAAATATTACTTATTATTATGTTTATGATTCATTTTTATAATATACTTATATAAAATATATATATGTGTATATATTATAGTTTTTTATGTTTAAAATATTAATTAATTAATAATTATTTATAATTTAAAAAAGTTATTTTTTTATGTATTTTAAAATAAAAAATATAAAATAAAACTAAGACATTAAAATTTATATATATTTAATTTATTTTCTTAATATAAGAAAAGATAAAAAAAAAATATATGTATATATTTATGAAAAATAATAATTTTTAATATTTTCTTATTAATTAATATTAGATAAAAAATTAAAAAGAATATAACAATAATTTAATAATTATATAATAAAATTTTTAAAATTAGATTAACAAAAAATAAATTTATTGAAATTAATTAAAAATTTATTCTATAACATGTTAAAAATTTTTTAAATAAAATATATTTTTTAATTATAATTCTATGAATGAAAACCAATAGTAATAATCTAATGAATAAATATTAAATACTTTTTAAATTCTCAAAATAATAAACTAAAAATAAAATTATTAATTATTAATTAATTATATACAGATTTTTACATATATATAGAAATATAGAAATATATATATATATGTATATATTAATATATATTTTATAATAAAATACTAAAATCTTTATAATAGTTTATTATCATAAAATACCTCCAGAAATATTTTTTTGTTCCTATTTTAAATTAAATATTAGATAAACATTTAAATATAATAATGTTTTTATAATTTTTTTTTAATTAAAATTAAAAGAATATCAATTTTTTTTTATTTAATTACGTCTCTTATTTAATTCATACCCTACATATATTATTCATAGATTATTCTAAACTTATTGATTTCGTATTAAGATGCATTTTTAAAATTTATGATTCTTGTTTTTTTATCAATATTTTAAAACCATTAATCAATTTTAGTTTTTCTAGTTTCTTCTATATCATCTAATAAGCATCTTATTTTTTGGCAATTTTTAATGTTACTACTACAACTATATTTTTTATTTTTTTATATTTAAAAAAATAATTTTATATTTAATAAACGCTTTTATAAGAATATATGCCAATTCAAAAAAATAATCAGGAAGCTTCTATAGTTCATCATTTAACTCCTTTTCTTTATTAAAAAATTCATTTAAAATATCATAATCTAACCACTCTGGGGGTTCTATTTTGCATTTATTACTTTTTTTTAAATGCAAAGCTAACCATAAAGGCACTTTTATAGGTGAATTAGGCTAAAACGGTCCGAAATCGCCCTATTTCAATAAATAATATTAATATTTATAGTAAATAACAAAAAAAATTAATTATATAAATATAAATATTAAACTAAATAATTATAATTATTTAAGTTATTACTTATATTAAATTATATTATCTTTAATCTGTAAATGTAGGTAAAATATTTATAAAAACTATTTATTTTATCATAAAATCAATTTCATTTATTTAAAATTATTCGAATTGCATTTTTTTTTATTGAAATATAATATATATAGATTTTAATATTTTTAAAATTTTTATTTATATATAAATATATATATATATATATATATATATATATATATATATATATATATATATATATAAATATTTATATATATACAAGAGGTGCTATTTAAATTGTTTTTTAAATTTTTTTCGCGCTTAGAGTTAATTAATAAATGTATTGTTATATTTTCTTTAATAATTAATTATATTTAAATTAATAAAATCTTTTATAATAAATATTTTTTTTATATATATTTTTCTCATATTATTTGTTCTTATTAATTATTAAATTAAGAAATATTATTATATTTAATATCTAAAGTTATATTTTAATTTATCTGATTCGAAAAACAGTCTTTGATACTATTTTCACTCTAAAACTCAATCAAATCTTCAGGTTATTTATCGGCAAATTCTTAAATTTATTAAACGATTTTAGTTTCTACTAATTATCTATTTTCAAATTATATAGGTTTTTCATTATTTGATAACATTTCGAATCTTTTAAAAGTCTTTTTATTATATCTTTAATGTAATTTTTTTTTTTTTTGTTATAAATTATTTTACCAATATTAATAATTTTTTTATTTAAAAAACTTATTATTATATTTTTTTATCGTTATCTTCTTGTATTTTTTCAGATAATATATTTATTTAAGATTCTGCTTTTTTAAATATATTTATCATTTCTTTTAAATTTTCTTAATTTTCATTTTTATCAAAACTATCTATAAATTCCTATTTATTTTATTATTTGTATTTTTAATAATATACATATTATTACATTAACTAAATTTATATTTTCCAATATTAATTCAAAATCTTAACATAATTTTTATTTTATGTTTATTTATTTATTACTATTTTAACTTGACTTTTTTTAAATTTAAATTTCAAATTAATGTTTAATTTGTGTTTTATTACAAAATTCGCTTTTATATTTATATATGGTGATAGGTAATCTTATGGAATATTAAAATTAGATTTTTATAAAAATTCGAAAAATACATAATTTTCTTCTTTATTTAATATTTCTTACCAACTCTTAAAAATGCATAATATTTTTTATTTTACCTTTTTTATTAATTCTATAAGTTTTTTATTATAATATTTACTTATTCATCAGTTTCTTATGTAAAAACCAAAAAAACATTAAATTTATAAATTCGTATTGACATATATTATTTTAAAATTATTTATCGCAAAAAAAGCTTAAATATTCTAATAATTCTAACACTAATATTTATATTTTTTTGTTTCGTTTTAATAGCTTTAAATGTATATATTTTATAGCTTCTTTTGGCCTTTTTTTAAAAAAAATAAAATAAAAAAATAATATATTTTAAGAATTTTATTATAATTTAATTGTAAATAATAATCATTTTTTTTATACTCACATTTCTTTATGTGAATTTATTAAAACTCCTATTTATTCCATTATATTTAAATCCTATATTATTATATTTTCATTTGTTGAACTATCAATCAAATATGTTAAAATTTTATAGGCATTCATTTACTGAAAAAAAAAAAAAAAAAACTAAATTATTAAAACTAAAGAATAAATTTTTTGAAATAAATAATATATTTTTTTAATTGATATAAAAAATAAATTAAAATATAATAAATATAAATATAATATTTAATATAATTAATAATATATCAACTTATATACATAAAAAAATGCTCTAGCAATTTCTCGAAAAGCAAAAGAAAATCCTTGAAGAAGAACACAATGTAGAAATATAAGAACATAACGAATTATTATCCCAAAATACCTCAATAGAGCTTCAACAGCAAGGTTATGCAATAAACAAACTAAAATTAAAATCTACCAAAACCGGTTTATACGGTCGAACCTTATGTACATTTGCGCACCCTCATTATTCTAAAAAATCAATAGAAAATCCTCAACTATAGAAATCTCTATAACTTCCCGAATCCAAATTTTCGAATGGAGACAATATATTAATATATAAATTTGATACATATTTTGATAAAAAATAAGCCTTAGAAAATGGTGTGATTTATAAAAAGACAAATTTTAAAATAATAATTTCATTCGATAAAGATTTTTAACCAAATCGTTTGTAAAACGAAGTTATTAGTTTAGTTATCGAAACAAATGAGATTACTTACAAAAGATGCGCCAAAACCCTCGATTAATTGTCTTAGAAATACTCAGATTCAAATTTCTAAGGGTCGGCATTGATTCGAGTACTAATAGATGGAGATGATCCTTCTTTATAAAATAATTTTGTTAAATAAGCCCATTTATTAAAATAAGATACTCATTTAAATGATTATTTTAATTAAAATTTAAATAAAGAATAAAAAGAGGCTGTTGAATTTGCCTTAAAAAGCCCCAATATAGCACTTATACACGGACCACCTGGGACTGGGAAAACTTCGACTGTTTGTGAGCTTATTTTATAAGCTGTAAAGATGGGAATGAAGGTTTTGGCATGTGCTGGTTCGAACATTGCAGTTGATAATATTGTAGAGAGACTTTAGAAATAAAGATAATGGTGTAAAGCTTTAAGAATAGGACATCCTGCGAGGATGATAAAGGAAATTTATGAGAGTTGCTTAGATTTTTAAATAAGTAAAACACCTAGTTATTAAGAAATAAAAGAACTAAAGAGAGAAATATAAAAAAAATTATCAGATTTAAACTTCGAAAAGTCCGATTTTTAACGAAAAAAAATAAAAGACTTTCTTTCTTCTCTAAGATAGTCTATTAGAGAATAAGAAAGTGTTTCCATAAAGGAAGTTTTGAATGAAACATAAGTTATATGTTGTACTAATACTGGTGCCGATGATTATATTTTTAAAAAAGAAATGAAAAATTTCATCTTTGATTTAATTATTATAGATGAATGCGCATAGTCTATGGAACTTTCATGTTGGATTCCTTTGCTGAAAGGAAAAAGGGCTGTTTTTGCTGGAGATCATAAATAACTTTAACCAACTATTAAATCTCTAGAAAATAAAAAAGAATCCACTCTTTTTGATAGAGTACACAATTAATTCCCTTAGACAAGTAAATTGTTATAGACTTAATATAGAATGAATAATCTTATTATGTAATTTTCATCTCAGTTTGTTTATAATAATTAGCTTTTGGCACATGATTCCGTCGCTAATCATTCTATTTGTCAAGATTTGGACTTAGTGTTGCTTTTTGTAGATACTTCAGGTGCCAAAATGGGTGAAAATGTATGCGAAAAAGGCTCTAAATATAACTTAGGAGAAGCTGATTTAGTATCTATTATTGTAGATGAGCTTACTAATTTATATAAAGTATAAATTAAAGATATTGGAATTATTACCCCTTATAATGCTTAAGTGGAATAAATAAGGAAAGTTATAGAAAAATAAAATCTCATAAATTTTTAATAATTAGAAATTTCAACTGTAGATGGATTCTAAGGGAGAGAAAAAGAATGCATTATAATTAGTATGGTACGGTCTAATGATATTAGATAAGTATTATATATATTTATTATCTAATATTTATTAAAATAGGTTGGCTTTTTAAATGATTATAGACGAATGAATGTAGCTGTTACTCGTGCAAGAAAGTTTGTTTGTTTAATTGGAGATTCTTAGACGGTTAGTAGTGATCCATTTTTGGAAAATTTAGTAAAGTATTTTGAAGATAAAGGTGAAGTAAGAAGTGCTTTGGAATATAATTAAAACTAAGATGTTAGATTTGATGTTGGGGGAGACATTAAAATGGCTATTAAGGATGCTGCGAAGAAAAAATAATAAAAAAATAATAATTAATAATAAAATAATTAAAATTAATATTTTAAATAACAAAATTAATAATAATAAGTTTTTGGAAATAAAAAAGTAGAAAAACTTAATTAAGAAGATTTGGAAGTTGAATATAGAGAAAAACTAGATAAATTTATAATAGAAGATAAATAAGAACTATTTTTTAAATAATTAAATGCCTTTTAGAGAAAAGTTTTACATGAAATTTGTGAAAAATATAATTTAATTCATTAAAGTGAAAATACAACTAACAATTTAAAAGATTTTGTTGTGAAAAAAAAGGAATAAAAATAAGAAGAAGTATAAAAAGAAAATAAGGAAGAAGAAAACAAAAATAATTTATAAAAAATAATTAAAAATGTAACATAAAAACAAGATAAGGAAGAATGTGAAAATTAACAACAGAAAATTCAACAAAAAAAAAATAAAAAAAAATAATAATCAAAAAAAAAATGAAGAAGAAAATAAAATAGAAAATAATGAAGATATTTTAGCATTTTTAGAAAACGAAAAAATTAAACAAACAATATGTAATTTTTAACTTTCCTTATAAGGAAAAATGTGTAAAGAAAATGCAACTACATTAGGAAAATCTTGTTAATTTTGTTATAAAAGATTTTGCATGAAGCATGCTCTAGCTGAAGAACATGGATGTGGGGAATAAGCTAAAGTTAAAGCTTAAGGGGAATTTAGATAATAATTTATGACTAATAATATGGGTGAAAAAAAAGTAAGTAAACAAGAAGAAACTAAATTAAAAAATATTTTAGGAAATAAAATATAAGAAATGCAATAAAAAAGAAAAACCACATAAAAAAAAAAATGAAAAAAAATTAATATATATAAGTATAATTATATATATTTATAGATATAAATATAAAAATTAAAATATATTAAATAATTAATATATATATATATATATATATATATTTTTTTAAATTAAATATTATAAATATTAAAATTCATTTTATATAAAATATTTAAATTATAAAATAAATAAATATATGAAATTTTTATTTTTAAATTAAAAAAAAAAAGGATAAGATAATCTAATTTTTATATACCAATAATTATATATATATTGATTTAAATTTTTTTTTTATATGGATAAAATTATATTTTATATATATTCTTTAATTAATAATATATATTATTATATAATAATGATATATATATTTATTTAAATATATTTTTTTAATACATATATATATTTATTTTCTTTTTCTATTAAATTTTTCTTTCTTTTAAAATTTAAAAATTGAAATATATTATATATATTTTCATTCATTTTTATAATCAGGTAAAATTGTTTATGATTACAAAGATGCATTATAATATTCTCCTTATTTACAAGTGAAGATTTTACTCATAAAAACAATTGCAAGAGATTAACTTAATAACGTGCTTATAGTAATAAATCTATGTTAGTTATATGGAGCTATAAACATACTAATTAAGAGTATAATAGGGAAAGATAAAAAAAATAAAGAACCGAAAATTCCGAATTTATATATAAAAGATTTTACTTTTTCCCTTGCATTTTAATGTGTCTAATATAAACCGAATAAAAAGTATAAAAACATTCCTATTCTCAAAATAGCTATTATCATTCCTGGAACACCATCAAATTAATGAATTTTATCCATTTCATCATCTGTTAATTTACTTAATCCTACAATCATCATATGAACAATACCAAGTAAAATCTTTTTTTTATTCATTTTATAGATTAATATATTATATATTACTGCTAATGGTATATATATATCAAATGTATCTGGCTCTATATAATTTATTGTCCATCCCCAAGATATTAAAATAAATATTATAGCTATTATATATTAGGCCACAATTCCGAAGATTTAATCAAATAATTGGACAATGAAAATTCCTTTTCCATTATAAGAGTAAACTAATAAATGAATCCATTCTAAAAATATATTTAATGTTTGTAATAACAAAACAATATTTGTTAAAAAGAAAGGCCAATCGAAATCTTTATCTAAATTCCATTATTTTTTTATTTTCTGGAAATTAATTACTTGGAAAATTGCACATATTAAAAAAATATAAAAATATGGATATAAAAACCCGTTTTCTTCCGATGAATAATGACTTCCGTTTTATTATTTTATTTCTATTTCTATCTTTTTTATATTTTTAGTTTATAATTTATAATTTTATTCTTTTTTATAAAAATAATAAAAACATGTATTCTTAATCCATTAGGAACTCTATCTTGTAAATTTTATTTGCAATCTTATATAGTAAAATACCATATTCTCCTATATTTTTATTTTATATCTAAAAAAATATTATATAAAAACGTTTGTAATGGAGAATCTAATGTTTATGTTATATATTGACTCCATTCATTTCCTTATGATGGAATTTCTAATGGTTAGACATGATTAGATGCTCTTGATTTTTCAATGCATGTTTTTAATGCTTATACACCTCTCCAAGTATAATCAAGAGAAGCAGTAAAATATAATGGAAGACTTTAACCTTATTATGTATTGAATAATGATTTATTAAATTTTGCTCTTATTTTCATATGAGCACTACCTATATCAACACCAAATTTTGAGATGTATTAAAAAAAGTCATTTTTTTTAAATTAATGATAAGGTACTTAAACTATTATTATTTTTTATTAAGATTCTTATATTATATAGATTATAATAAATAAGAAAATTAAATTTGCTTTCATTTTATTATTTTTTTAATATTTATCAATTTATTTATTGTTTATACTTTTTTTTATATTTAATTATTTATATTATAAATATGATATTTTAACTAAACTATTTAGAAAATATTGAATTAAACTTAATTATAAATATTAATATTATTTATTGATAAATAAATAAAAATATTTATAATTTATATTATTTTTATTTATATAAAATCAAAATTTTGCTATAAATTATTAAATATTATGCAAAAAAATAAAATCTTAATTTTATTTTTTAAATTATTTTATTTATGTTTATAGTTTTATAAAAATATTTAAATTCTTATTTATAATAAAAGATTGTCTCATTAATTATTAATTTTAACTAGTTTAATAATGTTTTTAATATTTTTTATATGCCTTTTTAAATATAATAATAAATATTTAAAAAAATTCTAATTTCTAGAAAATAATTATATTTTTTATAAAAATAAATTCTAATCTATAATATTATTTTATTTTAAATAAAAATAAAAAAAGAGTATAATTTAAATAAAAAAATTATATTTAAATAACTAATATGTATTATATATTAAATATAATATTTATATAATTAATTATTATATATTATTATTCACTTTAATATATTTATCATATTTTATTAAAAAAATTATAATAATAGCATTTAATTTAATTATTTTTAAGGTATATTTTAAAAATTTAATATTTAATTATATTTAAAGTTTGTTATCTTAAATATTTTCAAATTTTTTATTTAATACTTATATTTAAAAAAAAAAAAAAAATTAAATAATTAAAAATCATCCTAATTTAATTTTTATTAATAATATTTTGGGATATATAATATATAAATAGTAATATAATATTTAATATTTTATTTTTTTAAATAAAATAAAATTTTTATAAAAATATAATATATATTATATTATATTTTATTTTTTTAATATTAAATATAATATTTAATTTATTAATAAATAAAAACAAAAAATTTTAATAAATTATAAATAATTTATAATAATACATATTTTTTTTAAAAAAAAAAATATAATAAATAATATGTATAATTATATTTTATTTAAGATTACTATAATTTTATATAAATTAGATTTATAAACAAAATAAAAAATTTCATTCATTAAATACATAATGCCCATTCCAATCCTTCGGACATATTCCATTATATTCTCTAATAAATTTAAGTTTATTTTTAGTTGGACAATCTTCAGGTTTTAATAATATTGCTTCTTCGAAAAGTTTAACTGCCAAATCCCATTTTCCTTACAGATAATAAAAAAAAGCTTATTTATATAAATTTTAAAAATTAATATCAAAATTTCTCATTAATAGTCTTAAATCTTTATTTTTTTTAAAATATGTTTCTGCATGAAAGCATCTTTATTCTAGAAATTCAATGATCATAAGTTTTTTTTATTTATCGAAAAGTTTTTTCTCAGCTTTTGTATAATGTTAATCTATTTCTTTCGATATAGGAAGTTCATCTATGTCCATACCAATAGTATAAAAACCTACAGGCTATATAAATATATATATATGATAAAAATAATTAAGACCAAAAATAATATATGTATAATATTCAATTATTATTATATATTTAAATACCTTTATTTATCCTTTAATAGTTACAAAATCGACTCATCTAACAAATTTTTACATACTTTCAGAAAACAAATCATGTATATCTGAAGAAATTAATATAGGAACCCCATATGATTTTGTAGCTGCCTCTAATCTATTAGCCATTGTTACATTTGGGCTTAAATAAGAAGCGTCAATTTTAAATTCTGAACCAATAGCACCTTCTATACTCCATCCAATATGTAAACCAAATCCTATTTTTACTTTGTAATTAGGCATTCTTCTATTTAATCTTTTATCCGATCTATAAGCTAATATCTTAGGCTCTCGGTTTAATTTACAATGGATTTTCATAAAAGATATTAATGAAAAATCTGCATACATACTTAAATACTCATAATCTTCATATTTAATAATATTATCAGAAACAAAGCTATATTTATCTTCTGGAATTTTCCAAACTAAAAGAAACGCATCTCCTATATTCTAAAAAAAGCAATTAAAAATATTTAAAAAACTTAAAAAAAAAGGAAAATGAAAAAAAATGAAATAAAAAAAATAAAAAGAATAACTTTATTTGCTGCACCCATATATCTATCGACCATTGAATGTACTATTTCACCAATATTATTAACAAAAAGCATAACGTCTTCCTTATTATTTAAAAAAATATATATAATAAAAAAATAAGAAATAAATATATATAAATATATATAAATATATATATATATATATATACATATTTTAATGTATTTACTTATAAAACTTCTGTTGCATCAGTAAAATTTCTAATGTCACAAATTCCATAAATCGCATATTTTTTTTTTCCAGGAATCATAGGATCTATATCACCTAATTTAGCCATATTACTTCCAATAATTTCACTTCCAGCTTCTCCAAAACCCAGTGCAAGTAATGTTCCAATTTTAATAATTGCATTTTCAATAATAGTGGTTTCATATTAATCATCCAAGTTCATAATAAGTTCTTAATCTTTGACACTTATTGGATTTCTTGCTATTTAATTTACCTTTTCAATCATTCTTTCTATGGGTCTTAAGGCCAAATCATTTACGTCTTTTGAAAACAAAAGAGCAGCCATAGTCAAAACAATACAAACGAAAACGGTTCTTCCCAAAGAAAGGGCTGAAGCGAAAAAAGCAGTCTTTCTGGAACTTAAAAAAGCTTCAAAATATAATTCATCATTAGAAAGTCCTTTTAGATAATAAATAGTATCAATATCTTCTGGATGACTTTAAGAATACAAATTTACATCAAAATAAATTGCATAAGGTATTTTTTCCTATAATCTTAAAGATTCAAAATTTTAATCTTTATAAAAATTTGTGAACTAAAAAGGAGTTTTAAAATAAATTAATGGATTGTCTAAATTACTCATTAAAATAATTATATTATCAAAACTTTATTTGATATCTTCATGAGTACATGTTTTTTAATAAGTCATTAATAAAAATTATTCAATTTAAAAATCTAAACTGGCTGGTAGATCATAAAAATAATCCGCGGAAAATAAAGGCATTATAAATAATAATAATAATACAATTATTATAACCCGCTTTGTTGTTAAATCAGATAATTTTTTACTTACTCTAGATTCTTTTAAATTCTATTAATGTAATTTATATATATATAAATAAATAAATATAAAAAAAATATTTATATATATATATATATATATATATATTATTTACTGTTTCATATATATTATTTAATTCATTTTCTGATTGATTTTTTTGTAATTCTATCGCATTTTATTGAGTTTTTATATTTTATTATTATTCTTAATTTTTATTTACTTCTTTATTTTTATTATTTTTATGATTATCTTTATTAATTGTTTAATTATTATTATTTTGAAAAATTTCATTTTCCATATTCACTAGTTTATATTTTTCTTAAATTTTTTTTTTCTTTTTTTCTAATTCTTATTCAAATTAATTTGTAACTTTTTACTTTTATTCTTAAGCCGATTTATATAATTTTATAATCCTAATAAGTCTTACTACTTTAAAAACTCTTCCTGCTCTAATTAAATAAATTAAATAGTATTTTATAATAATTTTTTTATTTTTTTTAATAAATAAAATTATATATATATATATATATATATATATACCTTGTTCCTACCCTTGACGCACGACCTGCACGTGCTAAAGACGCTGTATTAACAATTTTAGTGCTAAACATTTATGTATTTATTTATTAAATATCTAATATAATTGATGCAGTTGATATTACATCTAACCAGAAAAAAAAAGATAGAAAATATGCTGGCTTTGAAAATATACTTCCTATGATTTCTGTTGTAAATATACAAAAAGTTAAAATATTAAATCCATCGAAAAAATCATCTGCATTCTTTATTTTTTTTTTAAAAAAAAAATAAGAGATTATAAAAATTTAAAATAAATTAACTTAATTTGTTGCAAGAATTCTTATATCATCTCCAAACAAAGCATAAATTGTAATTAAAGTAATAAAAATACAAAAGCAATCACTATCTAATATTTTTTATAAAATTCTACATTTCTAACTGTCATCCTATATATTAAAAATATCTACTTTGTTTTCATATTTTGTTTATTAATTTTCTTTATAATCTGATTTTTAAATTACTTTTTAATTTTATTAATTTTTTTATTTTAAAGAAGATTATCTTTTTTATTTATGTAATTAAGAATTCATTGGTAAATCAAAACAATTTCTTAAAATACTTTTTCGAATTTATTTTTATTAGTTCGAAAGGGTTATCATTTTTTAAAAAAAATTAATTTTGATTTTATTAAATAATATTTATTTTAATTTAAAAAAACTTTATTTTTTGTTAATTACTTTTTATTGTACTTCTTCCTTTTTTCTTATTTTTTATTTTTAATTTAAAATATATGTAATTTAATCACATGAAAAAAAAAAAATTAAATAAAAATTATATTCAATTCATATTTAAATAATAATTTTATATAAAAAATTAAAAGAATTAAATTATTATTAATAATAAATTTTACAAAAAAAATTAAGAATTAAATAATATATAAATATTAAAAGATAAAAAAATATAAATAGATATATATAAATAGATATATATATATATATATTATATATATTATATTTTATATTATATTATATTATATATGATATTAATATATAAATTTATATTTACAAAAAAAAAATAAAAAAAATATTTTTTATAAATAATAAATTTTTAGTATTTTAAAAAATATTATAATAAAAATTATTTACAAATAAAAAAACATAAAAATATATAATATTTAAAATTTTATAAAAAATATAAAATTTTCATAAATGTTTTAAATTATTTTAATTTAAAGTATAGATATAATAAAAAAAAATATATAAATATCATTTAATAATATTTTAAAATGCAAAAAATAGAATTATCATTATATTTCTTAAGAAACGTCTATTTTACTAAGTACACTTGATATATTAGTATTTTAACTTTATTAAAATTAGAATTATGAAGGTATTTGTTATTAACTTATATCATTTAAATAACTTAAACTTTATAATTATTACTGTTATTATAATTACTATAATTATTATTGTTAATGTTAATCTCTTAATTATTAAAGTTACATTTATTATGATTATAAAGATTTTTATTACTAAATTTATATTTATTCTATATATATTTAATTTACTATTTAAACTATTTTATTATTATATATAATAAAATCATCTTCATTTTAATTATTTATTTCAGTATTTTTTATATATTCACAATCTATTTTAGCAATTATTTATTATAATTCTAATCTTATAAGAGCCTTTAAATATTCGTCTTATTCATTTGAATTATATTTATTAAATGCACATAATTCTATTTATTAATTATAATAACATATATATTATATAATAAATTACCAAAAATTATCTTAATTATTTAATTGTATTAATCATTCTAATAAAATTTAAATACATTAGAAATTTTATTATCCTATCTTTGTTAAATATATATATATATATAAATATATGAATAATAATAATATATATTATATTTTTATATATAAATTTATTAATTTATATATATATTTATTTATTTAACTTTATTCAAATTTTTAATTAATACAATAATATATATATTATTACTTATCACATTTTTCTTTTGTTTATTAGCTATCATACTAATTATCTTAATTTTTTTCTTACGAAATAATTATTGTTCCTTATCTTTCCTTTGCTCTCTCAAAATATGTTTAATGTTTTTTTCTTAATTTGATGATATATTATTATATAAACTTTATAAAGTCTTTAGTTATTTTTATAATTATTGCATTTATAATTATTATTCTTAAATATATTTTTATTCTTTTTCATTTTTAGTTATTTATTTTAATTCCTCTAATTATTTTTTATCTTTCTATTTTCTTCTTAAATTTCTTAATTTATTTCAAATTACTGCATATGATTCATAAAGCTTATTGTTTCTAATTCTAAAGATTATTCTTCTATAATTTTATTTAATTTTTCAATTTCTTTTCCTGCATATTTTAACTTTTTGTCATATTCTGTTGTATATCTTATTTTATATATATCCTATAATGAATGTTATTATGAATTTTTATTTGATTTCATATATGCATATGCCGTTTTACTTTTAATTAATTACTCATCATTTTTATAAAAATCTGTGGTTTCTATATTTTTATTTTCTAATTTTTCTACTATATTATTTAAATTTGAACTAATTCTTACTCTTGGATTTCCCTCACAACATTATATACTTGTCCTGATATTATAATTAAATTTCTTTTACTTTTAAAATAATAATTATTGATTTTAATATAACATATCATCGTTTATATTTTCTTATTTAGAATCCATATATTTATTTATATTTTATTTTTAAATTAAATATATAAAATAAAAATTTAATATTACAATTTTTTTAATTATATTTATAAATAAAAATAAATATTATATATATATATATATGCATTGATTTAAAACTAAAATATATACAATTTCTTTTAAATTTATTATTATTTTTATTTTTACCAAAATATTCTTTATTTTTGAAAATACTTTTATTTCTATATTCTTATTATTATTTTTATATTATTGAGAAAAATCTAAGATTAATCCATAATATAATCACCAATATTTTTATTTAGAATAAAGTCAATCTTAAATTATTAAAACTCTTCCTTTAATAATTACAAATCCTATTACTTTTTTTTATATTAAAAAATTATATCTTCAGGCTCAGCTGATTATTTTATTTTATTTTTTAAAAAAAAATCATTATTTTAATTTAATAAATTTCCTAATTTTTTTTTTAAGATATTTCAATTAAGTTTGTACCCATTTTTTAAATAAAATATTCACTTTTTCTGATTCTGTGCATGAAATCTCTCTTAAAAAATTACATTGTATTTTTTTATTTCTTTTGCCTTTTTTTAGTTTTATTTTAAGTTTATATCAAATTTAGAAGTATTTGTAATTTTTTTAAGATTTATTTGAATCCATTCTTTTATTTTTCTATTTTTTTTTTATATTTTAAGGTATTTCTAATAATAATTCCATAAAAATATTTATTTCTAATTTATCTTTTTTAAATTTTTTTTATTGTCTCGCTCTTTGTGTCCTCGATATTGTTAATAAAAATATACTGTCATCTTTACCTTAGATTTCTTCTTATAAATGTTAAATATTTAAAATAGTTTTTGTAGTTTAATTTAAAGATTCATTGTTAATTTTCGTAAATATATTAAATTACTGTGTAAACTAAGATATAAATATAATAAATATTATTTCTCTTTTTAAAAATTGTTAAATTTATTATATAAGAATAATCTTATTAGAAACATTTATTTGATTCAAAAAAAAAAAAAAAATATTTTAGTTTAGTTTAAATTAATTCATATAATTGATTTCACTTTTATAATTTTTTAAATAAAAAATTGATTTATATATATATATATATATATATATATATACATACACATTTATATATATATTTTTTTTATAATTTTTCATTATTTATTAATTAATATATTTTTTTAATAGATATTTATATAATTTTATTTATATAATAAGTTATTATTAATATATAAAATACATATATTAAATCAATTTTTTTTTATATTAATAAATATATTTTTATTATTTTTGTTTATAATATTTAATATTTATAATTAAAATTTTAATTTTCAATTATAAGTATAGATTTATAAACTTTTAATATTACTTTTTAATAAATTTTATAATATCATTTATTTATATTTTTATAATTTTTTAGTTTTTTTGGAATTTTAATAATATTTAAAATATATTTATAACATATTAATTTTTAGTATTTTCTATGATATTGATTTAGCTTTCTAATTTTTTTTTTTTAAAGTTTTATTTGCAAAAATTATCTATTTTTTTTATATAAACAATTATTTATAAATAAATTTATTAATTTTGCATAATATAATTTATTATTATAAATTTATATTAAAAACATTTTAGCATTTTTTTTTTTTGAATATCTTTATTTTATTTAATGTTTTTAAGTAAAATATATAAATAATTATTAATAATATCTCAAAAAATTTTTTTTTTTCAATTATATGAAACTCAAAAATAAGAAAATATAAGATAATTATCTATAATTAATATTTAATTATACCTTTTTATTAATATCAAAATTATATATGTATTTTAAGAATTGTTTAATTTTAAATTATTTCTAAAAAATAATAAAAATACTATTTTAAGTTTTTTTTTATTTAAATATATAATATTTTATAAAATAATATAAATATATAAATACATTATATTTTAAATAAAAATAAATTAATTAATTATATATAATAATAATATTTACAAAAAGAGAAAAAAACAAAACAATGGGAAAAGATGACATAATATACGATGATCAAATAACATCTACGAGTCAGATAAAGGCTCCCTAATAATTAAGCTAACATCTCCTTAGCGAGATGCACATGAATATAAGTAACAAAGAAGAAAGTAAGTAAGTCGGAAAACCTTTAGACTAAGTATCATAATAATTTTTATCCGAAATAAACTAACCTAACGCAAATTTCAAATGGTTATTAATGTCCTGTATAGAAACTGCAGTTTCCGTATTTTTTGAAATCGCTCCAACATCAATTACAATTATGTTTTTATCAAACAAAAGTAACTAAGATACCGTCAGTGGTTATGGTTTAGCTATGGTTTTAAGTAATTGTATAGGATAAAGTGTCTATTATGGCCTAAGTAGTGGTTTAGAGACAATGGCAGCTCACGCCTATGGTGCTAAAAACTATCCTTAAGTTGGTTTATTATTATATAAGTGTTAATTTGTGATGCTATTATTATTTATTCCGATAACAATATGTATGATATTTGCTAAGGAAATTCTCCTTTTGTGGAATACAAATATTCATATTTGTGAAATCGCTTAAGTATATTGCATTTGGTGTATTCCTGGCTTATTTTTTACTTCGATATTTTATTCCATGAGGGGTTTTTTGAATGCCTAGAATGAATATAGAATTCAAATGTTAGCTTTAGGCATCGGATTCCCATTTAATGCTTTACTATGCTATATTTTCATTACTTGGCTAGATTGGGGGGTAATAGGGGCTGCTATTTCTTATAATATATTGAGACTTTTCATTGTTATATTATTCTTTGTCTTTATTGAGTTTAAAAAACAACTTAAAAAATGCTATATTCCTCTTTCGAGATAGATTTATAAAAACTTATGGCCTTTTCTTAAAGTAGCAGTTCCTATAGGCTCTGTGGTTGCTTCTGATTGGATAATTTATGAGGCTTAATCTATTATTGCAAGTAATTTAGAAGAAAGTCAATATGCAGCTCATATTGTTTTGGCTAATCTTAATGTAATGCTTTTTTCGTTTTCTATAGGATATTCGGTTGCTTCATGTACTTTTATTGGAAATGAAATGGGTAGAAGAAACGCAAAAAAGGCAAAATAATATGCCTATTATAGTTAGCTTATTTTACTTTTACACCTTATTGTATTTATTGTACCACTAACTATTTTTAAAAACTATATAGCAGATATATTCACCGTAGATGAGAAAGTTAAAAGCGCTTTCATTAAAACTTTTTACTTTTTTATAGCTCAAAATGTCATTATAGGATTTGAAACTGTTATGTCAGCTTATACAAGGGCTATAGGAAAAGAAAGGTTCCTTTGTATTATTTTCTTTTTATGTAATGGACTTCTAGGGTTAGTTTTGAGTGTAGTCTTTGCCTATTAATTGAATTGGAAATTAGATGGAATTTGGCTTGGAATGATTGCTGGAGTGGCTATTAATTCACTACTTTAATTGGTCAAAATAAGTTTTACTGACGTTAATATAATGGCTGATAAAATTTCTAAAAGAATTAATGAAAATGATATGTAACATAGTATTGTTAAATCTTTCAAATTGGCTAGTAATGGCTGAATTTTTTTAATCAATATATAGATATATATATATAAAATAAAAACATTATTAATTTGTATTTACTTTATTTAAAAAAGTTATGCCTTTTTTAAAGTAAATTAAGTTTTTTTAAAAAAAAAATTCAAAAAATTCTAAAAAAATATATATAAATATGATTATTATTAATATTATTATTATAATGTATAATATTTTTTTTAATATTATTTATATTATTATTATTATTTAAACCTCATTTTTATTTTTTATTTTTAATTAAATATTTATTTATTTTTTAAACTAAATATTTTTTATAGTATAATTATTATTATTTATTATTATATATATATTTAATTTTTATTTTTATTCTTTTCATTATGTAAATTATTTATTTTATAAATTATATTAATTTTCAATATTGTATCTTCTAATTATTAACATTTTTTATATAATATTTTAGATATATAATTATTTATTTTTTTTTGATTTTTTTTTAATTATATTTTAAAATATTTATATGTCTAATATGTTTTGTATTATTATTTTTAATTATATTTATTGTATATTTAAAATTATTAATATATTTAAATTAGTAATTTTTAATTTTATTTATATAATATTATTCATGTTATTTTTCCCATTATATTTTTTGTTATATAATTAGTTTTCATAACAAATATTAAAGTTTCTTTTATTTTAAATATAAATTTTAATTTTCTATTGTTTATTTTTTTAAATCTTTATAATTATTCTTGATATTATAATTGATAATATATAATTTTTTACATTAATTATTTATTATATTTATAAATTATAAAATATATTATATAACTATATAAATTTATAATAATAAAATGAAATCAGGTTTTATATTGAATATAAATTATTACTTAAAAATAAAAATAAAAAGCATTAATTTTGTATTCATCTTAAAAAAATAATAAAAACTTAAATGAAATAAGTAATTTAGTAAAAAATTAAATTTTTTTAAATTATAAATATAATTTATTTTTTTGTGTATTTTATATATAAAAAATAATAATTTTAGACATAATTTTTTTTGGTTTATTTTAATTATATACGTATTTATATATATTATTTTATTTTAAAAATTAAACTTTAATTTTTAATAATATTCAAAATCAAAGATCCATCATTAATTTTTCTATGTTATGACTTTATTAAACAGCCCAAAAATTATGATTTAAATATTCACTTTCAACCTCTTTTTCTAAAAATTATTTCCTATTAAAAAATATATTAAAAATTAATATATATAAATATATTTTTACTATTAATCATATATACTATTATCTTTAGTCTATATTTATAAATCTTTTGTTTCTTATTATTCTTATTAATCTTTAGATTCATGTTTTTAATCTTCTATATTTTAATCCATAATTTCTTATTCTTCTTCTTCTTCTTCTTTGCTTTGTTATTATTTTTATTTAAAGAATTAATTAAATTTCTAATAAAATAAAATATAAAATATATATATATATATGTATATAAATAAATTAAAAATATTTATATATATATATATGTATATTTTATATATATATGTTTGTAAATAATTACTTCGTAAATTTTTTAAATATCAATTTCAAATTTTTCATCTAATGTTCCTTCACTTTTCTTTTTTTTAGGATCATCTCCTCCTAAATTTTAATTTTCTCTATCAATAATTTTCTAATATAATTGTTCAATATAATTATTCCAGTTTTCATTTTAAGAAACATATTATTAAATGTATTTATTTGTAGAATATTCTTATATTTTTTTGTTAAATTTGTCAAAAAACCTATATAACCAACACTTTTTTTCAATTTATTTTTTAAACATATATATTTTTTTTAATTACTTGCTTTTATATAATTCATATGTCGAATTATTCTAAATAAATTCAAGAATATTAAATTAATCAAATAATGCATTTCCTATTATATCGGATTTTCCTTCTTAAAATAATTATAAACATTAAAGAACAATTTTATCAATATAGATATGTAAAAGATTATTCCAACAATATTATATCATTAAATTCTAAAAAAAATAAAAAAAAAGTATAAATAATTATTTCCTTTATATATTTTTTTTTATACAAATAAAATCTTAATAATTCCATTTTTACAAAACTCTTCAATTAATTCGATTTTTTCAGATTTGAAAATATGAGAAATAAGATCAATAACTTTTAGCTTACCCATACCCAAAGGATAAATTTCCTTTCCATTTTAAATTTTATGTTTCTAAGAAGTAGGGTAACTAGTAGTTAAAATATTAAGTAAACCTTTACAATTATTCAAATATACCTAAAATCCAATAAAAGATAATAATTCATTATTTGCTGTCACATCATCCTCTTAATTTGAATTTTTTCTATATTTTTCTAAACTTTATGAATTAAAATAGACTACCATAAGACTCAAAATACTCGCTGAACAGCTTTAATCGGAGCTATTTAAGCTTTTAGTTAAAATTTCAAATATTATTTAGATAGTTTCTTCTTTAAAAATAAAATTTTTAATAGTCTAAATGATTTTAATTTGGGATTAATTTTAATTTCCGTCAATTAAAATATTCATAACTTCTTAAAAAATAAGACTTATGTTATCTTTTTCTGTAGAATTTCCGTGTTGGAATTTGTTTATTAACAAATCTAATAATTCTTATCTTTAAGTTTAAGATTCATCATTTTATTATGAATTATCACTACCGACATTTATAAGTAACTTCTATATCATATTAGATATACTTTTTATTTCTATATGATTTACCAAATTTTTTAATACTTCTGGTTTATTTTTTATATGATTATAGAACTAAAATAATATATTAATAAATATAAACAAAATAGATATATAAATAATATGTATAATATAAAATAGTATATAAAATATATATAATATTTATTTACATATTATATATATAAAAAATTTTTTACTTAACTAGATGATGTTAATAAATTATTTGAAATTTTAGAAAAATAACTGCATGAAGTGTCATTTAGATCTTCTTCTGTATTTATAAATTCTAATACGTAATCGACAAATAATTATTTTTTTTGTTCTTCAGTTTTACTATTATCTTCTTTTGGTTATTCTACAATTTCTTAATTTTATTGTTTTTCTTCTTCTTCTTAATCTTATTCTTCTTTTTTTATTTTTTGTTCATTTTCTTTTTATTCTTCTTCAGTTTGTTCTTCCTGTTTTGGTTTTTCTTTTTATTCTTCTTTATCTTCTGTTTATGAATTGTCATATTCAAATGAATTTTCATGTTCAATTCCATAATACAAATCTTCTAAAGATTTAATTTATACGCCAAGAATTTCACTTGAAACAAATGGGTACCTTTGTTTTTTTGAATATAAGAAATAAAAATTAACGAAAAAAAAAAAAATTTTTTTTTTTTTTTTTTCAAATTTTATATTTTTAAAATTCAAAATTTATTTATTTTACTTATAATTTTAAAAAATATAAATAAAAAGTACTTATAGCATTATTTTTCATCTTATGTTGCTTAATCAGGCATTTTTAATGCATAATCTATCATTTTTTTGAGAAATTCTTTATTATTTTTAACACTTATTTTAATAAATAATTAATAAATTTTATTTGTTGTATATTTTTCAATTTATTTTTTATTTTTTAAATAAAATAATTAATTTATTACTAATTAAAAAACTTTTAGTTATTTTATTTAATATCCATTACTATGTTTTCTGTATCAAGGAATTTTTCTACTGTTAATTCATTATCTTTAAATAAACTTTCTAATTAGGAGCTATTAGCACCCATAAAACCAAAATGGTTCCAAAATTATCTTTTTTTTAATATAATAAAAAAATAATTAATTTAAAAAATATTTATATTTTTTAAAATATATTAATATACCCAAATATCATTTCTTTTATTCTAATTGTTTAATTGGCTTTTTTATATTATTTTTTTATTATTTTGTGTACTTTTTTTTATTTTTTTTACTTTCTTTTTTTTTTTTTAAAAAAAATAATTTAATTCTTTTATATTTTTAAATTAATTTACTATTATATTTTTTTATTTAATTTTTTTTTTTTTTTTTTTTTTCTTTGTATTATATCTTCTTTTTTTTTTTTTTGCTATATACTTATTTTTTTCTTTTTGTAATAAAAAGCTTATAATATAATATAATCAGAAAAAATAAAATAAAAAAATAAATATAAAAAAAGATTAAAATTATTTTATTAAAATGAAAATAAATAAAAATAATAATATATTAAAAGCTAATATATAATAATTTAAATATTTAAATATATAATAAATATATAAAACATTAAAAAGATATAAATTAATTTAATTCAAATATTATTATTTTTTTAAAATCAAAAAAAAAAAAATATTAATCATTTAAATATAAATTATTTTATTTAAATAAAGAAATAAACAATATACATATATATTTAAATATTTATATTTTTGTGAATACATTAAAATTATTTAATTTTCAATAAAACAAAAAAAATTAAAAATACATATAAAAAATTCAATTTTATTTAAAAAATAAAATATTTAAATATGAATCAAATTTTAATAGCCATCAACTTATTAATCATATTAAATCTAACAAATCAAAAACAATCAAATATAACCCCCCAGGAGTGTAAAGTATATACATGTTCAAATTAACCAGAAATACTATAGTGTTAAAAAATAACCGAAAACGAAATAACAACAGAAGCTTAAAATTGTTAATGTAAACCTCAATTATAGGATTTATTAAATATTTCTAAAGAATTCGTATGTTTGAAAAAAATAGGAGAATAATGTGAAAAAAATAGTGAATGTATATCTAATATTTGTTCTTTGGAAGAAGAAAAAAAGTGCATTTTTTAAAATGAAAATTAAAATTGTAATTTAAATGAAGAATGTAATAATGGATTAGTTTGTATATAAAAAATATGCTAAAAAATGAAAAAAGAAAATGAAACTTGTATTGAAGATTTTGAATGTGAAAAAGGGTTTTTTTGCTTTCAAAAAAAAAGTTGTTAGAAATTTCTTTTTGCGAAAAATGGGGAGAAAATAAATTCAGATAGTTAAAATTTTATCGATTTAAATTTTAAATGTGAAAGTCTTTTTGTAAACTAAGATTCGGTTTGTGTAGATATGCCTTAGGAAGAATTATAAATTGAATAATGTGTGGATTAAATTGGGTGCGATTGCAATTATTTTGAAAGCAATAGGTATTTTAAGAGAAATAATTATAAACTAGAACCATTTTTTGTCAATAAAATTAAAGAAATTATTAATCAATTGTATATTTAATGTCCCAATAATACAGATTAGTGTTTTTAATTAGAATAGTCTTTAGAACAAATGCGTTTTTTATATTAAAAAATACATTAGTTGGTTCATATGAAAGATTGTTATCAAAAGATGGTTTTTAACGGCGATTTTTTATAAAAATTTTGGCAAATAAATACTGGTTTTTATAATGAAAAAAGTGAAGAAAATGATTTTTGTATTTAATTGACTTTTTATTTAATTTTAATAGTTTTTGTTATAGGAGTTATTTTGGTTTTTTTTATACCAGAAAATAAATGAAAAAAACATACCAGAAGAAAAAAAAAAATTCTATAGGAAAATACGCCATAAAAAATGGAAAACATATCACTTAATTTAGAATAAAATTAAAAGGAAAACATAGATAATATAACTCCTTAAATTTTACCAAATAATTTTATTGATCCGAAATTATAATTAATTAAAAGTGTCAATAGTGCAAATTAAAATAGCTTTTCAATTGATGGAGATGATGAAAAAGAGGCTAAAATTATAGATAGTTTAGAGGATAATTAAAAAAGTATAAAAAGTTATGGAAATGCATTTAATTTAGAAGGTGAAGATTAATAAAAAGTGGAAAAAAAAGGATAAAAAAGAAAAAGAATTGTTAAAAAATAAAAGAGTGAATAAAATGACAAAATATATGAAATTGTTACTGATAAAAAAATGAATAAAATGAAGATCAAAAGAATTTATGATTGTTTTATTTTTTTGATTATATATATATACATATATTCATAATTAATTATAAATAATAATTTTTATTTTATTATATTTAATTAAATTATCAATTATAATTAATAATATTTAAAAAAAAAATAAAAAAATTGAATAGTTTTTTTTATATATATATATACTTAATTTAATTAATTTATTTATTTTATTATTAAAAATATATATATTTTTTATTTGAAATTTATTTTTTAATAATAATTTATTATTTTTAAATAAAATAAATAATTAATATTATATATATTATTAATATTTAATTTTATTATAAAATATTTTATTTTTTTCAAAAAATATCTTATTTTTATTAAATAAAATTTTTTAATTAATAATTATTTTTCTAAGTTTAAAAATAAATAATATTATAAAATATAAAAATATAATTTTTAAAATAAGAAATATTTTATATTTATATATCTTTTTAATGTCATTCTTAATTATAAATTTTTTATATATAAATTTAATTTTATATTAATAATTGTTTCATATATTTATATCTAATATTAAAACATAAAAATTGTGATATAAATTATAAATATATATCAATACTAAGAATGTTTAAAAGTAATAATTTTCCTGTTAATAACTAAGTATAATAATATTTAAATTATTTATAATATTGTTATTATATTTATTACTTGTTTATAAAAATTTTGGTATATTCGTTAATATTTTTTTAAATATACTCTATTATACAAACAAAATGAAAGAATAAATTAATAATTATAGTTTTTGATTTTTAGATTATTTTTTAAAAAAAATAAAAAAATTAGAGAACAAGAAATATCTTATTTTTATAAGTTTTATATTTATTTCTTAAAAATTATAATTTTTATATGAATATATTTAAAATTTACATAGATATATGAAATACTTTTTTTTTTTTTTCTAAAAAATATTAATTAAAAAAAGAAGTAATAATTAAGGAAAAAAAATAGAAATTATAAAAGTATAAAATTATTTATTATAATATTAATCAACTAAAATATATAATATTTAAATATATTAGTTTTTCGTTTATAAAAAAAATATATAAATAATTAATTAAATAATACATAGTATTTAAAATAAATATTCAAATTTAAAAACGAAATCTTAAAATGTAAAGTATTTATCTCATAAAGGTGTTCAAAGTTTTAATCTAATTATATTTAAAACTTTGATATATTTAAAAACTAATTCTAAGATATTTTTATCGATGATTTAAAAATAAAAAAATGATAAAATTTTTTATTGAGAATAACAATAAGTAATAGAAAATAAAGGTGTATTAAAAATATATTTATTTAATTAAAAATTAAAGGAAAAATTTTTTTATGTCTATATTCAAAATTTATATTTAATAAATTATATATGGAATTTATTTTTAAATAAATAAAAACATATTTTTCTGATTAATAATTTATCAAGAGATTAATTATACATTTATGATGTAAACAAGCCTATTAAAATTTATATTAAAAAAAAATTAGTATATTTGGCAAAAAATAAGAAATAAAAAATTATATTTAAAAATATATTATATTTAATAAATAAAATAAAAATAAAAAATCTATAAAAATAAAAATAAAAATATTTATATATTTATATAAAATTTTTTTTTTTATTTATATTTATATTTTTATATTTATTATATATTTATTCCTTAATATAATTTTTAAATTTAATTTATATTTTTTATTATATTATATATTTTTTAATATTATATTTTTATATTTAAAAGTTAATTATTAAAAAAAGACTTTATTTTATTAATTAACAAATATATAAAATAAATAAATAAATATATTTATATATATATATATATATATATTATACTCTTTAAATAAAATAAATATATATATTTATATAAAAGTATCATGTAATAATTTAATTAAAACTTTTTAAAGAAGAGAAACTTATTAAAGACACAAAATCAGCAGAAACTTATTTCGCCAATTTTTATTTATTTATATTTTAATTAATTTAAATTTATTTATTACTATCATCATCTGTAATATGGTCTGAAAAAAATGATGAATTTTTATCTGAAAAAGAATATCCTAAATCATCTTTTAAAGATTTAACTGATTATTATATATTTTTATTTTATTGTTAATTATTATCATTAAATAACTCTTTTTTTAAGAGTTCTTATTAATTGTTTTATATTTAATATTATAAAATATCTTTTTATGAAAAAAAATTATCATTTTCATTTTCCAAAAAAAAATTTAATCTTAAAATTAATGAATTTTATTTCTTATTTCTTCGTTTTTTTATTATATATTTTAGTTTTCTCCTTTTTCTTTTAAATATTTTTTCTAAATTTTCTCATTTTTATTTATTATTTTTTTTAGTATTTTTTCCAAATAATCCTTTTTAATTTCTTATTCATCTATTTTTTTTTTATAAAAATCTTTCTTTATTAAATTCTATTTCTCTTTCTTCCTAAAATTTCTATTAATGTTAATAAACTTAACTTTTTTGTTTAAATCTTGCGATTTCTAAATATTCAAATTCTAATTCTTATAATTTTTATATATTCTAATAATTTTATATTTCTATTTGTGATAGACTTTTATTTAATTATGTTGATAAGTCCTCTTCTTATTATATATTTTATTATATATATAAATTATTTTAAGCTATTTATTCTATTTAGTCTTCTATTTGCTAAATTTCTATTTGTTGTTTTTCATCTATTTATTATTTTAATAATTAATTATCTGTACTGTTTTTTAATATTTTTTAATATTTAATTTTAATATGTTTATTACATTTAAATTTAT